TGCCAAAACATTACGAAGAAAAAGAAAGAGGCTGGAGGAATAACTCTCCCAGAACTTCAGACAATACTATAGAGCTACAGTAATCAAAACAGCATAGTATTTGTACAAAAACAGCCATATGGACCAATGGAACAGAATAGAGAGCCCAGAAATGAACCCACAAACTTTTGGTCAACTAATCCTCAACAAAAGAGGCAAGAATATACAATGTAATAAAGACAGTCTCTTCAGCAAATGGTGTTGGGAAAACTGGACAGCAGCATGTAAATCAATGAAGCTAGACCATTCCCTTACACCATACACAAAAATAAACTCAAAATGGATCAAAGACTTAAACATAAGACAAAATACAATAAATCTCCTAGAAGAAAATATAGGCAAAACATTATCTCACATACATCTCAAAAATGTTCTCCTAGGGCAGTCTACCCAAGCAATAGAAATAAAAGCAAGAGTAAACAAATGGGACCTAATTAAACTTATAAGCTTCTGCTCAGCAAAGGAAACCATAAGTAAAACAAAACAACCACCTATGGAATGGGAGAATATTTTGCAAATGAAACCAACAAAGGCTTGATCTCCAGAATATATAAGCCGCTCACATGACTTAATAAGAAAAAAACAAACAGCCCAATCCAAAAATAGGCAGAAGACCTAAACAAGCAATTCTCCAAGGAAGAAATACAAATGATCAAAAGGCACATGAAAAAATGCTCAATATCACTAATTATCAGAGAAATGCAAATCAAAACTATAATGAGGTATCACCTCACACCAGTCAGAATGGCCATTATTCAAAAGTCCACAAATGACAAATGCTGGAGAGGCTATGGAGAAAAGGGAACCCTCCTACACTGCTGGTGGGAATGCAGTTTGGTGCAGCCACTGTGGAAAACAGTATGGAGATTCCTCAAAAGACTAGGAATAGATTTACCATATGACCCAGGAATCCTGCTCCTGGGCATATATCCAGAAGGAACCCTACTTCAATAAGACACCTGCACCCCAATGTTCATAGCAGCACTATTTACAATAGCCAAGACATGGAAACAGCCTGAATGTCCATCAACAGATGACTGGCTAAAGAAGAAGTGGTACATTTATACAATGGAATACTATTCAGCCATAAAAAACGACAACATAATGTCATTTGCAGCAACATGGATGTTCCTGGAGAATGTCATTCTAAGTGAAGTAAGCCAGGAGGAGAAAGAAAAATACCATATGAGATCGCTCGTATGTGGAGTCTAAAAAAAAAAAGGAAGAAGAAGAACATAAATACAAAACAGAAACAGACTCATAGACATAGAATACAAGCTTGTGGTTGCCAAGGGGGAGCGAGGTGGGAAGGGATAGACTGAGAGTTCAAAATTTGTAGATACTGACAGGCATATATAGAACAGATAAACAAGATTATACTGTATAGCAGAGGGAAATATATACAAGATCTTCTGTTGGCTCACAGTGAAAAAAATGTGACAATGAATATATGTATGTTCATGTATAACTGAAAAATCATGCTGTATACTGGAATTTGACAGAACATTGTAAAATGACTATAACTCAATAAAAAAAAAGTTTTAAAAAATGTCTTGAGGAACTGCTAAACTGTTTTCCATAGCAGCTGCACCATTTTATATTCCCACCACCAATGTCTGAGGGTTTCAATTTCTCCAGATCCTTGCCAACACTTGATATTTTTCACTCTGTTTTGTTTGTTAGTTTGCAATGGAGCCATCCTAGCGGATGTGAAGTGGTATCTCATTGCTGTTTCAGTTTGCATTTCTCTAGTGAATAATGATGTTAAGTATCTTTTCATGTGCTTGTTGGTCTGTGTAAATCTTCTTTGGAGAAATTCTTCTGAGTACTCTAAACTATGAGATGATCATTGTGTAGTGTGAGGGCTAAGTCACACTTACTGAGTGCTAACTGAATACTGAAAACTGAGTTGCATGCAAACTGACTTACAGGAACTGAGCTGGTGTTGGAAACACATTGGATACAAATTTAATTGTCATTTATTTTACAGAAGCCCGCTTGCCATCAGCTAAAAACCTAGGATGAGGCAAGTCCCCTCTCCCACCTTCATCCCTGCCCCCATGCTCTCCATGGTACTGAAACTTCTCCATGACCAGAGTTCTTTTTCCTAAGCCTGGGGTCCTAAGACATGTTGTCCACCTTTTAAAAGCAATTTTGAACAGGTGAGGGCTGAGGTAGAAATGGAAGAGAAGGTGAACATGAGCAGACAGAGCCAGGTCAAGGCTGTTGCAAAGGAGAAGCTATGGGGGCCTTCCCAGGGAAACAAAAGTGAGGCTTTTGTTTTGACACCATTTTTGAACAGTCACAGTTTCCAAGGAATAAATCCCCAAGGAAACCACACAAAAAATAGTTGTACAATATAAAAAGTAACCATGCAGATATGTGCAAATGAGCTTGGATGGGTCAACATTCAGCCAGAAACAGTGGGATGAGACTGTCCAAATCAATTTATTGAGCTATACCAACTGATACTAGCTTTTATTTATCTTTAAAAAAAATCTAAACAAAGAAGTATTGTGATATTTATTGTAATG